GATTTGGCCCGCGGGCTAATGCGGGCGGGCTACGGGCCATGGATTTCCCAGCCCGTAGAAATGCGGGCCATTTTGGCCCGCCCCGTTTGAACCGCGGGCCGGCGCGGGCCGAAGCGGGCCGGGCCGGACCGGCCCGTTTGACAGTGCTAATTTGAAGTATTCAAAATTTTACTATTGTTCTACCTTCTTAAATGTACTGCTTTTTTTATTGGCTAAATATACATTGCAAGTTATCTCTTATAAATAGTACTATATACTCCAATTGTTATATTCAATTTTTAATTAGATTGTCGGGCCCTTAGTGTCTTGCTTGCCCAAGGGCCCTCGAAATTGTTGAGACGGCCCTGCCTGCTTGGCATTTTCTGTATTACTTGAACAGCTCGGGAACGACGAGTGAGCCAAAGCTCATTCCGTGGACTAAAGAACTATTGGATCACAGTGTGCTCCTCTGCAGCTTAAACGACCCGATAATTAAACAGTGAGTATATATATAGCAGTAAATTAAGTAATATGTGTGTTTTTTTCTTTTTCCTTTTTTTTTTGTCTCGCCTGTTTTGTGTTTTGCGTTTTGATCAGTCCACATGACAGGCACATGAAGGGGTTTGACGAAGGCAAAGCTCTGAGCTTCATGTTCATCAAATCCGAGACCGAAACCCGTGGTGGGGTCCCCATCCAACTGGCGCTGACTCACCTCTACAAGAGCGACGCCTACAGGAAGCGAGCAAAAGACTTGTTCACGAGTCCAAACGAAGCCATCCTGTGCACTGACCTGTTCCAGAGCACCTACACACAGATGCTATGCGGCCTTCACGAGCGCCACCGCATCCACTCGGTCCACGCCCTGTTTGCTTCCGGCCTCGTCCGCCTCATCAACTTTCTCCAACTCCACTGGCAACAACTAACACATGACATTCGCACAGGATCCCTCGACCCAAGAGTCACCGACGAGTCCATCCGCAAATACATGGCCGGCACCTACAAGCCCCATCCGGACCTGGCCGATTCCATCGCCAGTGAATGCTCGCGGGACAACTGGGGGGGAATCATCCCCCGAATTTGGCCTCACGCAAAAATCTTAGGCGTGATTGCCACTGGAACAATGGAACAATACATCCCAACCCTCGACTACTACAGCGGAGGACTCCCTATAGTTTCCATGGTGTATGCATCATCCGAATCCTTCCTTGGGATAAACCTTAACCCCATTTGCAATCCATCCGAGGTCTCCTACACTTTCATGCCATTCCTAGCTTATTTCGAATTCATTCCCTACGAGCCCAACTCCTCAGGCCAATCAGATCCTGTTGACCTAGTCAACGTCCAAATCGGCAAGGAGTACGAGGTGGTACTTACTACACCTGCCGGGCTCTACCGATACCGACTCGGCGACATCGTGCGGGTCACCGGCTTCTACAACTCGGCCCCACAGTTTCGGTTCGTGAGACGGAAAGACGTGGTGCTAAATATTGACTGGGAAAAGACAAAGGAAACGGAGCTGCAAGAGGCAGTGAGAAATGCTTCTCGATTGCTACTGCAGTTCGATGCGATGCTGCTCGACTACACAAGCCGTGCGGACACCACGTCTGTCCCGGGGCACTATGTCGTGTACTGGGAGTTGCTGGCCAAGGACTCGGGTGGTCTGCCGAGTGATGAGGTTCTTCAACAGTGTTGCCTAGTGATGGAGGAGTCCTTCAACTCGGTGTACAGAATGTTGAGGGAGAGCTCGATCGGACCATTGGAACTGAGGGTCGTGAAAAACGGGACGTTTGAAGAGATGATGGAGCATGCAGTCTCCAGGGGTGCTTCGGTTAGTCAGTACAAGGTCCCCAGATGTGTGAGAGACAAGGAAATGGTTGGTCGTCTTGATTCACGGGTGGTGTCGAAGCATTTTAGCACGTCCGTGCCGCGTGCTTAGGTCAATCTTTGGATCAATAAGATGGATGGATCATTCGTCCTTTATTTTACGCGTATTTTATAAATAAACTAGCGCAAAACCCGTGTGCACGGGAAAACAAAATTAGTGATATTATAATATTAGATGATGAAATCTTATCTACTACTATAATTAGGCAACTCATTTGCCATTTTTAGAAAGTTTTATGTGAGACCTACAACACTCTTACTATTTTTGGAAATCCTTCACATTCTTTTGACAAGTGTTCATATTTGTATTAATTTAACTACATCAAATAATATTTATTTAGTTTATCGATAACTACCCAACACCCGTTATTTAATATTTATTTAGTTACCGATAACTACCTAACACCCATTATTTAATATTTATTTAATTTATCGATAACAATTCGATCCCCATTATTTAATAATTTGATATCAAGTGTGACTAATTTTTTTAATAAAAACAATTAAAGTACTGAACGTTTGTACTTGACAGACATTTTTATAAAATTTTATTAGATTTTTATGAAAGATTTTAGTTTAAATTATTTATCTAATTTTCATAATTTATACTTTATAAAATTAAGATAATTATAGGTGTTCGTATGCTTCTTGCCTGAATTTTATAAATTTTTTTATCTTAAATTTTGCACATAAATTTTAAATCTTTATCTTAAATTTTGTACAAAAATATTAAATCTAATAGTAATGAAATTAGATATAAGATATTTTAAAACATGCGCAAAGAATAACACACAATTATTCTTCATAATAAATAAATAAATAACAACATGTTTGTAGAATATTTTTCATTTCATTTCTAAACGTACCAATTAAATCTAATAATACTGAAGTTAGATAAAATAATATTTTAAAATGAATCACACAAACATTCTTCGTAATAAATGAATGAATAAATAACATCCTGTTTGTAAATTTTTTTTTATTCATTTTCTACAAGTTGAAAAATCCAAAACATATGATCACAATTAAATTAATCCAATAAACAAATAGTATTATACATATATATGTAATATATGTAATAAATATCAGATTACATAATATAAAGAGTATTTCGTAAATATATTTGCATTTATTAGTAATGTCGCGATAATATAAAAATATTATTTAAGTGTTAAATAGTAGGTATTTAATTATTTTAGACGTATAAATCTATGTATGTTCATAAAATATTTTGTTTTTTAATACGTAAATCAATCAAACATATTTAACAACACTAAACAAAAGTCCAAAATAATATAACATTTTTATTTTTATAAAAATATTACAAAGTCCAAAATAATATACGATTTTTATTCGTTATAAAAAATATTAACACAACGCAGTAACACGTCTAACATATGGAAATTAATTAGAAATACAGTAAAACCATGAGAGTGAAGTTATTAAATATACACGTTTGGAAGATACATTGTTAGTGGCTTGAACCGTTACCTTTCACGACATCATTTTTTATTTAATAAGATATATATTTGGTAGTTTATAAATATGCAATTCATTATTTTACCATCACATTCACATCTCTTTCACATCCTTTTCAAACAATTACTTACACACAGGTAAAGAAGGTATAGAAAATAGGATGGAGTATCAAAGTTCGTGTGATGCGATGTTACACTGCTTTCAAGATTAAAATACTATTTTACCATCACATTCACATCTTTTTCACACAATTATTTACACACGAGTAAAGAAGGTATAGAAAATATGATGGGTATCAAAGTCTGTGTGATGCGATGTTACGATAGGACTGCTTTCAAGATTGAAATACTATTTTCTGGGAATTGATATTCCACGACTCCGAGGTCAAGATCGAAATACCGAGACTGCGGGGTGATTCTTTTAAGAAAATTTTTTGTTTATAAAAAGTTATTATACATATTTTATTTAGTTTTATTTCCTAATATCTGTGTTTGTAAGGTTTTCAGAGATATAGAATTCATCCCTCAATCAAAAAGATTAATGTAGTTCTGTTCAAACGTTTTGGAGTCATTGGTATCCACACTTTATAATTGTAGCAACAAATGGCGACAGATATAAAACTACTATAGCAAGATTCAAGATATATTTTATGTTGAACTTCAACATGAAAATTTCCTGAAGTTTATGAATAACTTCTAAAGTTTTACCGATTTGGTTAAAGACTCTTTTTGTAAGGACTCATTATTGATCGGTAAATATGTCATATGCATATAAAGCATAAAATATATATTTTAGTTATTGGAGATTAATTTACGTGAATGTTATACCTGAATAACTCTGTATTTATTGCATGAACCGATAATTATATCATATGCATATTAAAAATAAAATATATATTTTAGTTACTGAGGAGTAATTTACATGAATATTATACCTGAAGAAATTTGTATTTGCGCATTGCCAACTTTATGTCGCTGTTTCACGAGTTACAAATGAGAAATGATTGAAAATATTAATTTGTGATGATAAAGATACCTCAAAGACGAAGAACGTTTTTATAAGAAAGTGTTCAATAATATTTAATCGTTATGCATATGAACTGCAAATGTTCTTTTAATAATTTTTTTGTTTCGTAGATCCTGTGCATTTGCACGGGCAACTGTACTAGTATTTGTTAACAACATAACACATAGAGAATTAAAATATAAAACACAACCACATGTATGTCTACATATTTTAAAATAAAATTAAAAATATAACTATTTGCTTTTGAAAAGTTACCTTGTGAACATCTTGTGGGGTAGCACTCCTCGCTCCCGTAGAGACTCCCCGCCCCCGCCCAAACACATAGCTCACCACCCTCATCCTAGCGCACTGCCACAACCTTCAACTTGGACCAACAGAGACTCCCCGCTCCCGCCTCGACTACAGCCCCACCGTCGCCGGCGGCGGCGGCGCCAACCCACCACCGAACGGTAGGTCAATTTTTCCGGCGACTTCTGGACAGGATTTTGGCATCATTTCCGGCGTCTCCCTATCAATCGGCGCACCCTCCAAAGCGGTCGGACGTCCGCCAGTTTTCGTTCTTCTACCCTTCGGCACCACAACCCTGCCTCGTGGAGTCTCGGTCAGCCCCCGGTAGGCCCCTTTATGCTTACATCCCTGACCCCCAGATCTTCTTCAACTCCGGCTCCGGCATATCCAGTTTCGTCCCCCACCGACCCCCGATATTTTCGAGTTGCGATCGCCAGCCCCTCCGCCGGCAATGCGGGACCCCAGAGACTATCACATGCATCTTTTCAGGACAAGCAACGGGGGACTATCACACGCTCGGAGAGGGGAATTAAGGTACACGGTTAGTTTTCCTGAGCCCAATGTCTCTTCCTTAGTCGGACCGTACGATAATACACTTATTTTGAAGTTTTTCTTCTCTGTGCCCTCCCTCCGAGACTTATCTGTTGGATTAGGAAAGTTGGGTTTTAAGGGTAGAGTCACACCTGAGTATCTTAATTACAACCACTATCTAGTATTCTTTGACTTGAGAGAGGACTACAATTTGACAAGGATCATGACGTATTCGAACGTCTGTGGGTGTTCCGGTCGGGCGTTTAATACACCTCAAATTTCTCTACATCGAAAGTCACCTATTGTTCCAGTCTGATGCTGTCTCCCTGGTCTTCTTCCCCATCTTTTTAACCCTGTTCGTTCCATTTTTTTTTCATGTTTTCCATGTTTATTTTATATTTATTTTTCCCCATTCTAGGTTATTTTCTTTGGTTCTTGGTCCATTTTGTGTCTTGTCGTGAATTTTCTTTATTTTGCTCGTTTTTGGTTTTCTTGTTCGTTTTTCCCATTTTTCTTGTCGGTGGTGATGTGCAGGTTAGGTGGTTGTGTCAGTTATGAGTTTCTTGCGGGGATTTCTATCTAGGAGATTGAGGTCGGGTCGAGTAGAAAAACTCGGAATCCAATTCTAAGTCTGGATGCATGGATACGAGCCCGGAAATCACAACATGTCACAAGAACTCTTCACTGCGGCCAACGACGTTGTTCCCGCAGCCGCGGTGAGCAAAAAATGTCCAGCGCCTAGTTTTCTTCTCCGCGGCCGTGGAGAACAAGAGAGTCCCAGAACCCCAACGACAGACAGGAAATGTCGCGGCCGCGGAAGAGGTCGCAGCCGCGGAGCACTCCTTCACCACGGCCCGCGAGCTTCTCCGCGGCCGCAAAAGGCACGTTTTTCAGATTTTAAGTAGCAGTTTTTTAAAGAACGAGGGGACATGATGTTCTAGGATAAGTTTTGAATGTTCTGCGTTTTTTCACTCAAAAAATCATACTTTCACTTAGTTTTATTTTGGTAGTCAATCTTGGAGAGAAAAACTCCGAGATTCGACTTTTGGATTCGGCTTGTTCTTGTTTTCGACATTGGATACATTAATCATAAGCTTTTATTTCGTTTTCTTTATGATTGAGATGGCTATGATTATTGTGTATGTTGATGTTGAATGCATTATGAGTAGCTAAATTCATTAGTTAGGGGTATGGGATTGTCGTTCAGGTTCAATTTTATTTATTTGCATGATAATTGCGCAATCTCTTTGAGTTGTGCTTAACCTAGGTTTTAGATGCTTGATCACCATCTTAATCTAATTAATCGATCTTAGAACCAGAAGGGAAGAGATCGTTCGAAATAGGCTCGTTGAGAATAGGCTTGTTCGTTATAGTATTGCTTATGAGTTAATTGTTTCAAGAATTACTCGTTTATGTCTATCCTCTTGTTACGAAGAGTTATTGAGGATATACCTCTAGATGAGTAGTTCGTCGAGTCATTTAACCGAGCTCTTGATTGCTCCTTAAATGTATTGAGAACTGAAAGCGATTGTCCCCGATACCCTTGCCCCTTTATTCACTATTTGAAGTCGTGTTTTGATTTGTGAGTTGAGAATATCTAGCTTGTTCTTACAATTCGTAGTCGATAAAGCAAACCAAATCAATCTTATTAGAGTGTCAGGATTATTTTCTTTTTTCTTTGTGATTGAATATTCGCGCAATTTAATCTGGCCAACCTTCCTTCTGACATGACCCGGTGTTCGAATCTCTCGATTTTACTCCGGTAAAAAATACTAACAACAATTTGGCGTCGTTGCCGGGGAAGGTTTAGGACTTAATTGTGAGCCTATTCATTTTTTTTAGTGTTTCTCTTTGTTTCTTTTGTTAATAGTTCTTGTTTTTCGTTGCTTTTTTTATAGGCAAATTATTTGTCTATCTGGTGCTCGTGACGGTTTCTTTTGTCTTTGTGTATGCGAACCAGAAGTGGACGTGTACTATCTCATATCGACAAACCATTCAACGAGAGCCTGAGAGAGCTTCTGGAAGAGCTTACTCTCGAATCACACGAAGGGGACGAGCATTCTCCGAAATCATCCGAAGACAAAAACTTCAACATGGGTGAACAACAGCAACAACCGCCCCGTAACACCCTCCGAACCTTAGCCCACCCAGTTATCAAGCTAGTCACCTCGTGCATTCGTTTGCCGGATGCTGCACGGAATTATGACCTCAAAATAATTCACTACAACCAGCTGTCGGTATTCCATGGGCTCCCAAGCGAAGACCCGCTTAGCTTTATCCAAGAATTTTACAATGTCCTCAACACCTTCCCTCTCAACGGGCTGAATGACGAGCAGTTGAAGATGAGGTGCTTCCCAGAGACACTAAAGGACCGGGCCAAGGCCTGGTTCATGACGCTTGCACCGGCATCTCTAACCACCTGGACCGAAGTGTACACGAAGTTCATTGGGAGGTACTACTCCCATCAAAAGACCCAGGAGCTCCGGTCACAGATCGTCACATTTACTCAACTACCAAGTGAGCCTCTTCACGAAGCTTGGGAGAGGTTCAAGGATCTCCAGCGGTAGTGTCCTCATCACAATCTTTCGCTGGGACTATTGATGAACTGTTTCTACGACTCCCTCAATCAGAACTTGCAGTATATGGTTGATAATGCTGCAGGAGGAGACATCGGCGCAAAGATGGCCGAAGAGATGTTTGAAATTTTTGAGACGATGACTTCTAACTAGTCTCAAAAGAGTAATCAAGGAAAGAGGGCCGTAGTCTGTGAAGTGTCTTCTGCTCAAGACATGATGGCCCATCAAATAGCCGAACTCACAGAGCAAATGCGGCTAATGAATGCAAGAGGAGGCCAGCTACTGCAGACCATGGCGGTAGACACATGCGGGGCATGTGGAGTTCAGGGGCATAGATCTGAGGTGTGTCCATCAGCATTTGACCAGGATTTTGGAGAACAGTATGCAGACGTCAACACCCTCCAAAGATATTAGAACCGACAACCCAACGACCCCTTCTCCAACACGTACAACCCCGCGTGGAGAAACCACCCACATTTCTCGTGGTCCAACAACAACAACATCCTCCAGCCACCCCGTCCAAACTTCACCCAACAACATCCCCGTCCAAACTTCATGCAACAACAAACCCGTCCCAACTTCATCCCCCATCTGAACTACCAACAACAACAGAAACCGCAACAGCAAGCCCAAGGGCCCGAATCGATCTCGTCAAATCAAGATGACAAGCTGGACAAGATCCTTCAGTTCATTACGAACCAAGATTCATCGATCAAGCGTCTTGAGACGCAAGTGGGCCAGCTTGCCACGAGAGTCAGGGAACATGTAGGCAGAGTCAGACAAGGGAAAAATTCTTAGCCAGCCCGAACAAGCCAAGGCAATCACAGTGCTAAGGAGTAGGAAGGAAGTTGACAACAAAGTAAAAATGCCCGAGCCCGATGACCCTCAGCCAATTGACCCGCCCAAGGAAATAGAGAAAAACATCGAGGAAAGCACAAAAGCCGATTCAGGAAAACCGACAAAGGGTTCATTGCTTCAAAGTCCCCAAACCCATACAAGCCACGCATTCCTTTCCCAAGCCGACTTTGAGATGAGAAGCAGAAGCAGCAATTTCGGGACCTCTACAACATGCTCTCAAAGGTCAATGTCAACCTACCACTTCTAGACGAGATCAAGAACATGCCATCCTACATGAAGTTCTTCAAGGACTTGGTGACAAAGAAGAGGAAGTTAGGCGATAGAGAGAAAGTGGTGGTTTACGAGGCAGCGAATGCCATGCAGCATGACCTTCCGAAGAAAGAACGAGATCCCGAGGGATTCGTGATTAAAATAGCCCTCGGGAATGGGAAAGAAGCTTCGGAGATGCTTGATATTGAAGCGGGAATCAGCCTCATGCCGTTCTATATCTTCCAGAGGCTCGATCTCGGAGACTTGAGACCCACTCGGATGTGCTTGCAGCTGGCCGACCATTCAATCTGATAACCCAAGGGGGTGGTGGAAGATGTCCTTGTTCGAGTAGGGAAGCTTATCGTCCCGGTGGACTTTGTTGTTCTAGATGTGAGGAACGTTCAGGAGAATGGGAAGGATCATACCATCCTTCTTGGCAGACCGTTTATGGCCACCACCAACACTCTCATTGATGTGAGGAATGGGACCTTGAACATGATGGTTCTGGGCGAGTCCATATCTATCTCCGTCCGAGAAGCCACATCCGCATCTTCAGTTAACTTTGTGGAGGAGTGTGCCTTTGTTGATGTAGCAGACCCGTTCATTAGAGATATGACTGTACGGGACTTGGAGGAAAGGTCATTGCCCGATCTTGATGAGGAAAAAGAGCCAACCATCAAGCTCTTTGTAGCAAACGAGCCGACAAACCGACCCCATCCACACTAGAGCTTAAGGAACTACCTCGCCATCTCCAATATGTATTCCTTGATGACGAGAAGCAAAAGTCGGTAATCATCTTTGCCGAACTCAACCAGGAAGAGGAGAAGGAGCTGATTGAGGTACTTAAGAAGAACCAGAGGTTATTAGTTGGAGCCTCGGTGACATAAAGAGGATCAACCCTTCCACGTGCATGCACCGGATCATTTTGGAGGATGGTGCCAAACCATATCGAGATAGCCAACGGCGGCTAAACCCGAACATGATGGAAGTGGTGAAGAAGGAAGTGTTGAAGCTCTACTCCGAGGGACTCATCTATACAGTGGCCGACAGTAATGGGTCATCCACATCCATGAGGTTCCAAAGAAAGGGGGTATCACGGTCATTGAGAATGAGAAGAATGAGATGGTCCCCACTCACATCACTACCGGGTGGAGAATGTGCATTGATTACTAGCGACTCAA